GGAGTCCCGCCCGGCCAAGCCGGGATTTTGCTTCATTTTAGACAGAGTGTCGCGGTCTGCTGGGGCCCCGCCTCCCCGCGTCCAGCGGTTGGTTGTTTTGGCAGTCTACTTCCGGATTCACCTAGGTGTGTGTTCAAGTGCGGAACCCTTCGGGCGAGAGAAATGGGCGGGGAGAGGAAGCTATTGCGTGAGGACGACCGGCTCCCCCACCCCGCCCCAAGTTGCCTCGTGGCTCATCTGACAGATGACGTCATCTATTTCAGATCCCTGTGGCCCTCGCTTCAAGCGAATCCACTGAGCAGAAAAAAATCCTTTTTTCAGTCTTTTTAAAAATAGTTAACACAGGGCCAGTCGGTGGGTGGCATTTTTTTTTTTTTTAGGCGGCTGGACCCCACATGACCGACTACAAGGTTCAAGTCCTAGACCCGGTGGCTAGAAAAACACGCCTGGTGTGTGTGCATGCCTGAAAACCCAAGAGGAGAGTGGAGAAGGCTTTGCAACGTGGTCATTCTTCCTTGGGAAAGGCATGCTTTCTCACTTTCTGTCTCCAGCGAGCGCACCCGCCCTATAGCAAATTTAAAAATAAAGGGACCACGGTTGGCGTAATGGTTATCCCGCTGGACTCCCATGTAGTCGGCCACGGTTCGAGTCCCAGACCCCGTGGCCTAAACTCACGCTGGGCGCGTGTGCCTGCGTGCCCAAGATCCTCCCAAGAAGAGAATGGAGAAGAAGGGATTACGGCATGCCAATCTGCGAATCTCCCCGCCCGGGGGGGGGGAGTCTCTTTCTGGGGAGCGCGCATGCCCTATAGTAAAAACCTCTCAAAAAAGAACGGAAGATACACATGCTGTGAAAGTTCATGGAGTTGTACATTTACTGTTTTTGTACTTTCTGTACTTGTTATACTTAATTTGTCCAAAAATCTATTTTTATGCTCCCTGTAAGTCCTATAGCTTATTTTTTGTTGTTGACATTTTAAGGTAAAAATTTTTATTTGAGAATTTCAAAGTGCTTCTTGAGAGGATTATAGACAGTTTAATTATATAGGGACAAGTCTGAGAGTTTCTTTTTAAGTGATTTCTATTTTGTTTTGAAATGCTAGACAGAATTCTCTCCTTTGTGTGTACATGTGTGTAATGTGAGTGTTTGTTTTAGAGTTAGTTACAATCAGTAGTTGTAAATTTATCAGAGTGTTGTGAAGAATAATTAGGGATCAACCTGAAAGTCCTATAGCTTTTTAAAGTTTGACTTTATCTTGTTTAACCCTCACAACACATTGAAGTCAGTGCTGTTGTTAAACAGTGTGTGTGTAAATAAAACAAACCAGGGGAACCAGCAGTTGGTATAATGGCTATGTCACTGGAGTCCTACATAGCCAACTGCAGCTCGAGTCCCAGACCCAGTGGTTTAAACTCACGCCAGGTGCGTGTGCGTGCATGCCCAAGATAGCGAGAAGAGAATGGAGGAGACGGGAATGTGGCGTGGCCATCCCCCCTGGGGGGTGATTTCTCGCTTTCTGTCTCTCTGTCTCTGTCTTTCTGGTGAGTGCATGCACCCTATAGCAAAACATCTTTTAAATTCAAAAAAAAATTTTGATTAAAATATAAATAAAACAAAACAAAACCCCAAACAAAAAACAGTCTGTGTCTACAAAATACCAGTTGAATGAGTATATTTTAGACTCCTTTGAGAAACTTCTTGGGATTTGGGGGATATGTGCACATATGCCCAGTGTTTTTTTGTTTTATTTTGTTTTGTTTGTTTTTGTTTTTGTTTGAGAGGCTTTTTTTGCTATAGGATTCCTGCACTCGCCAGAAGGACAGAGAGAGACAGAGAGACAGAAAGCGAGAAATCACTCCCCAGGAGTGTTGGCCACACCGCAATCCCTTCTCCATTCTCCTCTTGGGATCTTGGGCATGCACGCATACGTGCCTGGCGTAAGTTTAAGCCACCGGTTCCGGGACTCGAACCACAGTCGACTACATGGGAGTCCAGCGACATAGCCATTACGCTAACTGCTGGTCCCATGCCCAGTGTGCTTTTCAAGCCACCAGGTCCAGGATTCAAACTGCACAGTCCACCATGCCACCGGCTAGCCCAACATTACTAGCATTTTACAGATGAAAGTACTAAAGGCCAGGGAGAAAGTCAAAGGGGTAGTAAGCGATGCAGAGCATAGTCAGTGCAATGGACAGAAAGTGGAGCTATGCCTGATATGTTTGAGGAAGAGTATAGGGTTCAGCATGTCTTTAAGTAAATGATGAGGTGAGTGACAGTCTGTGAGATGACAAGAATCAGGGTGAGATCATGCAGTGCTTTGGCCTTAATAGTGAGGTATTTCTCCAAAGTTATATTGTAGGTCTGAGCACAGCCAAGATTTAGACTGACATTTTACAAAATACAGGTCACCTGAAGTCAGTATATGGGTATCTGGGGTTT